TAGGGCTTAGGGTTTAGGGCTGTCTGGAGGTAGGGTTACCGTAAAGGTTGGCGTAACGTTAAAGCGCTGTAGAAGGGTTTCTATCATAGAGGACCTTCCATTGCTCCATGCCACTCTAAGACTAAGGTGGAGGGTCTTGCGGCTTTGTTCTTTTTGCTTCGGGTGTCTTTCATGGGAAAGGGTTTCAATGGTCACTTCTAGGCTTTGAAATGGTTCTTAGGGCGTTGACACGGGTTTTCGATGCCCTAAGAGCCTAAGATTTGCCCTTCAAGCCCTACGCCGTGGTGTTCAGGGATGGGATGCGGTCTCCACACGGGGTGTCCATAAACCTTCCGCTGCCCTTGGCCTCCAAGGTTAAGGCTCGAGGGCCTTTCGGTGTCGGGCCTGGGCCTTTAGGGTTTGTTGGGTTTTGGGTCCCACTGCCCTGCCTTATGCAGGGATCTTTGATAAGACGAAAGAGAACTCAGAGAAAAAGTGGCTTAAGCAGAGACTCCATACTGGAACAGGAGTCGAACAAACACCTAGTTCTACAATACACAGGGTTTAGGGTTTAGGGTTTAGGGTTTAGGGTTTTAGGGTTTAGGGTTTAGGGTTTAGGGTTTAGGGTTTAGGGGCCATACATACCACCCCCCTAGCCTTCATCTGCTCGGCGTTGGGGTCCGGGTGGTCGTTGGCGAGCCACTGGTGGGAGACAAACATAGCCGCCCCCAGGTCTTCCTGCCGGGTTTAAGGTTCAGGTTTAGGGTTGACGGCGCTTTTCACGGAGTCTAGAAGTGCGCCAAAGAAGCTTAGGGTTTGTTTAGGGTTTAGGGTTTAGGGTTTAGGGTTCCGGAGATCCTTTGAGAGTGACTTTCTGAGCTTTTGTAAGAGCATTCATAGATCCCTTAATGGTCAGGGACAGAGCGGCCCTTCCAAGAACACTCGAAAGTAGCGGCACAGGCCTTCCATTCTGGGCCACGAAGCCCCGGGGTAGCCCTTGGGTCACATCTCCGCCAAAACACCCCAAAAGTGAGAGCCGGTATACCAAATTGAGGGTTACTATAGGGGCTGCTGTAAGGTTTAGGGGTTTAGGGCTTCAGCAGGACTACCTTGCAAACAAATATAAGGTTAGACTCTCCAAGCCCTTACAAACAAAATCCGTTAAACCCTAGAGAAGCGTTGTAAAGCTAGCTTAATATCGGGGCCGAAATGATTTGACTGGGCTTTGGTGGAGATTTTACGATAGCAAAAAGCAATGTTGGTAATTACTGAAGTCCCCTAAACCCTAAACCCTGCACCCTATATTAAACCGTGCAGAAATGTTGGGCCGTGTGTGGCTCATCTCCTGGAACTCGGTCAACTTCCCAGCAGACAGGAGCTCTTCGTGGGGCTGCACCTGGGGTTTAGGGTTTAGGGTTTGGGGTTCAGAGTTTAGGGTTTAGGGTTCCAAATTTAGGGGTTTCGGGTTCAGGGTTTAGGGTTTAGGGTCTAGGGTTTGGGGTTCAGGGTTTAGGGTTCAGGGTTTGGGAGCTTCGTGCAGAAGACCTCCTTCAGCTGCAGGAACACGTCGAGCGAAACCTCGGTTTGGGGTTCTGCAAGCCCTAAACCCTAAAACCGAAAACCCGAAACCCCAACTCAATCCCCAAACCCTAAAACGCTTCACCCTACACGTTTTACATCTTTAGGCTTAGGGTTTTAAAAAATTTGCGGGTTTAGGGTTTAGGGTTTAGTGTTTAGGGTTTAGGGTTTAGGGTTTAGGGGTCTGGGTGACCCCAACCCGGGAACCCCACTTCTACGTCACCGGATGGCGTTCCTTGAGGGTTGAGGGTTGAGGGTTTAGGGTTTAGGGTTGAGGGTTTAGGGTTTAGGGTTTAGGGGTTTAGGGTTTAGGGCTTATATAGGGTTGGGGAATTACGGCTTTGGCTTTTGGATGTGATGCTACAGGGCTCAAGTGTATCAGCCTCTTCATCTTAAAACCTCGAGGGTTCGAGACCCTAAAGCCCTACTAACCCTAGAAATTGTTGGGTGGACCTTAAACCCTAAAGGCCATCTAGAAGGCTTGTTCCCTGCCCACTTGGGGTTTAAGACTTTAAGCTTTACCCCAAACCTTAAACCCTATACCTAAAGGGGGTTCTGTACTTCTAGAGGAGCTATTCAAAGGGCATGCATTGGCCTTGTTTTGAGGGTGTTCGGGGCTGTAAGGTCGGGCTTCTGCAGGTCTTTGTAGGCTTCTCACACTGTTCTGCAAGCGTCAGGGATTGAACCCTAGGCCCTAAACCCTAAA